GGGTGGGGGGGGAGGGGTGGGGGCCTGCGGGGGGGCGGGGGGGGGGGGGGGGGGGGCTTGGCGACTTGCGAGGGGGACCCCGACTCTGGAACAAAAGACTGAGAGGGGGGGCGGAAGGGAGGAGGGCGAAGGACAGAAACCAAGCGAATGTTTTTATAAATTGTAAGATAAAAAACTTTAATTCTGAGATCTCGGGTCTTTATTTTTACAGAGATGAGGAAATAGTACCTATTTAAAGTTTAAAAAAAAGAAAATCCTTTTTTTGTGTCTCTGCTGGGGGTGGTGCTTGGGGGTTGTGTATCTTTCTCTTTCCCCTTTTTAATCCTTCCAGGTTTTTTAGTGTTTGGTTTCCTAATGGGGGGGGGGTGTTCTATTGGATGCCACCTGAGGAGGGGGGAGAAGAGCCTGCCCCTCCTGAGAGGGGCTGGGGGGAGTCCCTGGCCCACCCAGGCCTTTATTGTTTGTGAAACAGACCTCTCCCCTGGAACTGTTCAAAATCACGGAGTTTGCAGTCCTTGGGGGGGGGGTGCGCACAAATGCTGTTTTTCAAGCTAGCTAAGTGGGCGAACTCCAGTTGCAATTTTTTCAAAAATGCAGGTGATTGCTGAATTGAAGGCACCCCCAAAAAAGAAATAACCCTGGGGGAAATCGCCTCTAAACCATTCTTGTGGTTCAGTTTCCCTTCACAGGAGGTCCTGACTGGAGTCAGTCTTCCCCTTTTGCAAAGGGAGAAGATTCCCATTATATAGATCTAAAGATGGAAAAAGAAACAGAAAAAGATGTAAACCAACTTTTTCCCTTGGAAGCAAATTGATGTAATTTGACGTTGATGTAGTTGGAGGGGGGGGAGGTTTCCAAGTCTTATTCCTGCTTCCTCCAACCATCTTCTGCATTCTTGAAATCTACAGTTCTGTCTACTTCAAACAAGATACTTTGATTTGGGGAGGTGTGACATGGCAACTACTTCTCCCATCATGCACTGCTCTGCAGGTCGGTCTTTCCCTTCCCCTCTGTTTGTGCACCTGGGAGAAGGTGCTGTGTCGGAATGGAAATGCCACCAGTCAACGTGTTAACACTATTTTAGCGTCTTTCAGTGTGCTGAGGGGTATACTTTTTAAAAGTTTGGATTCTTAATTTCTGCCTTTCCAGCCTAAAGCCAGCATTGTTTGGGTCTTGTGTGCAAAAGTCTGTACTCTGTAGCCTTTTTTTCTTTTATGACAAATATTTAAATTTTTTGTTTTCATTAAAGGGAGGGGGGGAAGCCTTTTGTTATAAAAAGGTATCTTGCAGCCTGCCATTCAGAAATCTCACATTAAGCACTGTGTGTGTTAAAGGATGCCGTTGCCAAAACAGCAGTTCTTTTTGTTTGTATCTCTATTATTTTTTTTCTGTGTGCATACTGAATTGTATATCACCGGGTAAAACTGTTCAGAATTGTTTTAAATTTATAATCTTAATAAAAAGTCCAGTTATAAAAGTTAAATATATGGACCTGTGCTTTTTTCTTTTTGGTCTTGCCTCAGTTCAAGAATGTGGCAACTCAGTTGCTGCCCCAACTTAGGTTTTCAGTCAGATCAAATACTCTTGACTTGCAAGTAAACCTCATGGAGTTCAACAGTGTTTCCAAAGAAGTGCAAGTCTTGAAGCTGCATGGAGACTTGCTAGGTGAAGCTTTAGAAACAGGCACTACCTACATATCTCAACTTGGAACACATCTTAGAAAAATGTTTTCTTGCTCCAACGGTGACTTTCCTTGGGGACAGATCACCCCCATTCCCAACACACTTTCAAAATGGGGTCCTACCTCTGCAGCTGATGCCAACGTTGGAGGAAGGCTCAAGATTCTTTTTTGAGGCTCAGCAGTTTCCCAAGATCAAAGAAAATGGGGGGGTTTGGAATATTTTTCCACTGGCCTGATCCTTTGCATATTTACTCTTGAGTAAGCCCCACTGAGTCTCCAGTGGGGCTTATTTATATTTTTAGCATTTGCAGATTTGGTCTGCTACTCTTTATGAAGGACTTTATCCCTGTTTGTAGCAACAGGGTCAAAATGACAGTGCCCTCTCCGAGGACGATCTCCGTGAAGTTTCTCTTTGGGTGTGTGTGTATATATCTCCTGAGTGGAGTTTGTTATCTGTGCCACTTGGTGGTGCATGTGCGTGTATGTGTGTCTCTCTTCTCACCGCCCCCCCCCCCCCACCAAACGAAGGTAAAAAAGATTTTTCTGACCACCTACAGGCCGACCTCAGAACTGGAGGCTGGCTTTTAAGATCAAGGACCACAACTGTGGGCTGAATCTTCTCAGCTCTTTGCAAAATAGAAATAAATCAGGGAGGGGGCTTCTTTTCTTTTCCTTTGTTTTTTTTGGGTGTTTTTTTGCATTCCTAACAAGATGGATCATTTGGATTTTAAAATGGAACGTGAAACAAATTTTGTTAAGTGTCCCCACAGAGACTGGGGGAGGAGTTATCTCTCCCCATCAGTTAAGTCGTATTGGGAAGAGATCGATGCCTGCATTTTGTTGATTCCTCAGTCGATCTTTCTAAAGTGACAAAGACTTCACAGTTTTTAATTTTTTTGTTTTAATTCCCCTTCTCTTCAATGCTATAAAAATCTGCTTGGATTCAGACCTAGTTTGGCTGGACAGGGGCGGGGGAAGGAATTGCCTCCTGTTAGCAAGATTTGTTTTCCTCCTTTTTGGTCTGGAGGGTTTTAAAAAATATAATTTGTGCTTTTCACCCCCAAATAAAACGTAACTGGGCTGTAAGCTCTAGTTTTCACAGCAGAAGGTGAAGGCAATTGCCAGAGCTCCTCCTAGCGTCCATCAGGCAGAACTTGCAACTTCTTATGAGATCTGGGAAGGAATCTCTGTTGCAGTAAGAGGTAAGGGAGCGGGATCTAATTATGCAGTATGGAGAGTTCGGACAACAAGGTTAATTTGTTTTGGGGTTTCTTCCCCCTTCTACCTAAGCAGGAGACTGGACACTCTTGATAATTTGTTAGAGAAGCGAAGCCTAAATGTTACTCAAGATCAGAAATTGTTGCAAATTAAAAAAGAACATCAGAAGAGCCCTGCTGGCTCAGACCAGCGGTCCATCTAGTCCAGCATCGTGTCTCACACAGTGGCCAGCCAGTTCCCCTGGACAGCCAACTAAAGGGTATAGAGGCCCAGGCCTTCCCCTGAGGTTGCCTTGAGCTCTGGGATTTAGAGGATTAGTGCCTCTGAATGTGCAGGTTCCCCCCAGTCACCATGACTAGTAGCCAATGCCATTGGTAGACTTCTCCTCCGTGAGTCTATCTTATCCCCTTTTAAAACTGTTCATTCCTGTGCTTAATTTTATACACCTCTAACATCTCCCCCTGTAGTTGTCTCTTTTTTAAACTGACAAGTCCAAGCCTCTTCAGCCTTTCCTCCTAGGAAAGGTGCTCCAACCCTCTCTTCATCTGGGTTGCCCCTCCTCTGTACTTTTTTCAGCACTGCAATGTTCTTTTTGAGATATGGTGACCGGAACTGTACACAGTATTCCAAATCAGGCTGCACCATATATCTATCCGGGGGCATTACAATATCAGATGTTTTATTCTCAATCCCTTTCCTAATAATCCCTGACATAGTTTGCCTTTTTCGCTGCTGCAGCACACAGGGTTAACACTTTCATTGAGCTGTCCACTAAGACCCCAAGATCTTTTTCCATTTCAGTCCCAGCAAGTTCAGTCCCCATTGGCATAAATGGAAAACAGAAAAATCCGTTACCGCACCCTAGGAGACCGGCAACTTCAGAAATCTGCCTGCTCTTTTCCCCCAGATGAGCAGTAAATTGTTGGCTGCTGGGATGCACTTCTCCTCTGATTGATTAAATTCCTACCCCACCCTCCCCTGCTTTTCCCCCAAAGTCTGTATGTGTGTGTGCACATATGTGTATCTATCAATCTATATCTAAGATAGATTGGATATATCCCCGCTCGGCTGAGACCACAGGGTGCAATTACATGTGGTTAGGAGCATGGACTCTAATCTGGGAGAACCAGGTTTGATTCCCCACTCTTCCACATGCAGCTGCTGGTGTGACCTTGAGTCAGTCAAAAGTTCTCTCAGAGCTGTTATCTTACGAGCAGTTCTCAAGAGAGCTCTCTCAGCCCCACCTACCTCCCAGGGTGTCTGTTGTGGGGAGGGGAGGGGAAGGGAAAGGAGATTGTAAGCCGCTCTGAGATGCCTTCGGGTAGTGAAGGACGTGGTATAAATCCAATCTCCTCTTTTTCTTTCACATTCAAAAATAAATGAGAGGGCACCGGAGATCATGAACAGGACTGTTTCTGAGCATGTAAAGAATCCCTGTCCTTCAGCCACAAGCTAGGTTTAGGAGCTAGTGCTTCAGTGTCTACTGACAGGCCACAGGGCCTACACGTCACCAGGTATTGCGCTGTCCTCACACTGTAGCAATCATTCCTAACTGAATTGTCCAGTGTGGATAAAGATAACCCAGGAGATGAACGTTTGGATGCTGCGCTGTTGGGTGCTGGAGCAGTCATGTCCGTCTACAACCTCAGAGTGGTTTGACTCAGGTATTTGGGAGGGAGGAAAGTAACTTTTCAATGACTGTTGGCCTTCTAAGCTCACTCTGTCTCCTTTGCCCATGCAAACACATCTCCGTGTGCAGCCCAGGCAGAATTAGAGAGTTGGGGCTCCCTTCCTGAGTCAACGGTGAGCCCCCACCTGAGTCCAAGCCAGCCTCCAGGTAAAACCTGGAGATCTCCTGGAATTATGACTGATCTCCAGACTACAGAGCTCAGTTCTCTGGGGAGACAGGGCTGCTTTTGAGGGTGGACTTCATTGAATTATACTTAACGGGAGTCCCTCCTGTCCCCAAAGTCCACCCTCTCCAAATCTCCAGAAATCTCTCAAACCAGAATTGGCAACCCAAACCTGCCGTGCTCGACAACAAGCTGAGCAGTTACAAAAAACATTTTGAAACTTGAAAAGCCGGTCAGTTACAGAACTTTCTGACTGCCATTCGATCTATTTGCAGAGCGGTAATCACAGGGGACTGCCCCTCCCTGGATAGACAGTTAAGTTTTATGGGATTGATATGTCAGACGACCGATTTAAAACATATTACGCTAGCTGTTCTCCAGTACAGTGATGTCGCGATGAGGATGTCAGACAGACAAGGACTAGAGACCTGGGGAAAAAGTCCTAGAACCATGAAACTCCCTGGGTGACTCTCAGCCAGTCGCTCGGTCTCAGTCTCACCTACCTCCCAGGGCTGTTGTGGGGATAAAGGGGAGGGAATTTTGTGTTCTTGCGATTGCTTATCCACTGGTACAATACAGACTGACTGACAACAGGGGGAGCCTTGAACACCAACCCAAGCTCCTCGGCGGAAGGGTGCAATCAGAACATCATAAATGCACTCTGGCTCTGGGAGGGCGCTTCTCTGCCTCCTTAGGCCAGCTCATAACAGCAGATCTATGGGGCATACCCAGGGGTCATTTCCTGCAGGAGTGCACAGGAGCGGAGCTCTGGCAGTAAAGAGCCCAGGGGGCGGGCACATGCAACAAGCCCCGCCCCCTGCTCCCAGCAGCCCCGGGCCATGAGGCGCAAGAAGTAGCCAGGTAAGTTGCAGTGGATGTTGCCTTCTGACATGCTTCCAGTGATGTCAGGGGCTGTGGCATATGCAAATAAGTTATACTAATGAGTTATGCTATAGGAGCTGCAGTGGCTCAAGTGGTTAAGATGATGAACTGCAGGCTGTGGAAGGTCGGTAGTTCGGCAGTTCGAGACCCGAGTGTGCCGCATGACGGAGTGAGCTCCCGTCTCTAGTTCCAGCTCCTGCCAACCTAGCAGTTCGAAAGCAAGAAATTGCAAGTAGATAAATAGGTACCACTTCGGTGGGAAGGTAACAGCGTTCCGTGCGCCTTGGTGTTTAGTCGTGCCGGCCACATGACCACAGAAACTTCTTCGGACAGCGCTGGCTCTTCGGCTTTGAAACGGAGATGAGTGTCCGATTCCCCATTCATTCAAAGTAAATCCACGTTTGATGAACAAAATAGAATTTATTAAAAGAGATGGTTAGATCAGGAACACAATCATTGTTAGTAATGACTACAAAAGTCCAAGGGAAACATAATAAAGGAACTTGAACCGAGACAGGACCAATGAGCCCAATTCCCGCTGGCGGGAGTGTGATAAGTCTTAGCGCCCTTTCCTTGGGAACACAACGGTTCATACTACATAAACAGAAATTCAGATCTCAGGCCTCAGAAACATAATAAGGAGAGCAAGCCATAACTCCTTCCCACCACCAGCTGGTTAACCTTGAGCAGTTCCGCGGTGTGCTAGCAACAAAAAGTAAACACCTACACAAGAGGCAAGAGGAGGGGGGGCGAACCAAGAACAATATACCATGCAGAATAAAACATACAACATAATGGCAGCTTGCTGACACTATCCCAAGGGTGTGAATGCACAGATGACCACTCGAAGATCATCAGTTACAGGTAAGCAACCTGTCTTAGCAAACTGATTTATGTGGTAGCCAAATCGCTCGCTCCCAACTTTAATGCCAGCAGCTCACAAAGTAGAATTTTTGCTCACAAGACTCCAGAGCTTAGAGGGAGCATTGGTCTCAGGCAGAGGTCTTTCACATCATCTCCTACCTGGACTTTAACCTGGAGATGCTGGGGATTGAACCTGGGACCAAGATGCTTTACCGCTGAGCCACAGCCCCTCCCCTAAGTGGCGGCTCAGCTTCCTCCAAGGCTGTTTGAGCATCCCAGTCCTCCATTGCCTCCCACTGCAACCAAGACTTCCAAATAATGGTACTGGTTCCCCTACATGAGTGTCCGAAACAGGTACTTCTCAACCAGCTCTGCGTGTGTGTAGAGCGCTGACAAGTTAGAGTCAACTTAGGGCAACACAAGCAAGGGGCGTCCAAGGCAAATGAAAAGCAGAGGTGGTTTCCCATTGACTTCTTCTGCAGGGTCCTCCTTGGAGGTCTCCCATCTAACTTTTTTTGGCCATGGAAGGGGGGGAGTGGAGAAGGCTAAGGTTGTCAACTCCAGGCTAGACGGAGCTTGGGGAGGGGAGGGGAGTGTCTCAGCAGGGTCTAATACCAGATGGTCCTACCCCCCAAGGCTGCTGTTCTCTCCGGAGGAACTGATCTGTCTCATCTGGAGATCAACTGTAATCCCAGGAGATTTCTAGGCTTCACCTGGAGGCTGGCAACACGAAAAGGCACGAGGACGAATTTGCTGCTGCAACCTGGGCTCATTTCCCTCCTGCCCACTGTGGCTCATCTGTAAAAAACAAAGGGGTGCTGGGGCTTGGGGTTATATATTTCCAGGGGCAGCACATCCACTAGGCAGCCCTTGGCAATTGCCTCGGGAGCCAGTAGTGGAGGGATGCCAACCGGCCCTGTAACCTGCTCACCCAGGGCACCAGGGACTGCCCCAGGAGGTGCCCCAGTGGTCACTAGTGGGGAGCCTGTTCCCTCCCTCCGTGGGGTTGGGTGTATGTGTGCTGCAGGCCTGGTCCCAATTCTCTTCCTCCTTCCCTCAAGGAGGGCTGGAAGCAGTGGTAGCCAGGGTGCGGGTGGAAGGAGGACAAGAGCCACCTTCCCACCTCCCTGTGACGTGGCAGAGGGAGGAGGAGGAGGAAAAGAAGAAATGTATACCTCATCCTTCCAGGGCTCTTTTTGTAGAAAAAGCCCAGCAGGAACTCATTAGCATAATAGGCCACACCCAACAGCAGGAACTCATTAGCATATTGGGCCACACCCCTGACAGCACAGCTCATTAGCACATTAGGCCGCACCCCCATGTTACCAGAAGTGTGCTCATCCAGCCACACCCACCTTTTGCTTGCTATTCTGTTTACCTTGTTTGTAGTCAAAAAAGGGCTTTTTTTGTAGCAGGAACTCCTTTGCATGTTAGGCCACACACCCCCTAATGTAGCCAATCCTAATGAGTTCCTGCAGTTGGGTGTGGCCTATTATGCTAATGAGTTCATGCTGGGCGTGGCCAACTTGGGAGCCAGCCGGAACTCCGTTCCTGTGCGTTCCTGCCCAAAGATAGCCGTGTTCACTACCCGAAGGAATCTCAGAGCGGTTTACAGTCTCCTTTCCCTTCCCCTCCCCACAACAGACACCCTGTGAGGTAGATGGGGCTGAGAGAGCTCTTTCAAGGACTGCTCCTGAGAGAACAGCTCTGGAAGATCTTGCGACTGACCCAAGGTCACACCAGCAGCTGCATGTAGAGGAGTGGGGAACCAAACCTGGTTCTCCCAGATTAGAGTCCATGCTCCTAACCACTACACCAAACTGGAGGGCAGAGACACACTGTACCCTGCCTCGCCCAGCTGCTGGGGGGACAGGGAAGGCAGATGCCATCTGTGGCCTGGGCAGGGCAAAGGGGCTAGTTTGCCCCTCTTCACCCAGCTACCAGAGATGAGGAGAATGGATGGAAGCTTCTTGCCACCATGGGGGGGGGGGAAGCAGATGCAGTTTTCCTGCTTGCCCGCCACCCGGCAAGGGCAGAACAAGTGAGGAGGGTGTGTGGGGGGGTGACCTGGTCACCTGAAATCCTTGGGCCAGCCCTGGATATTTTGTCACTGTGGTGTGCCTCCAGCAGATGGTCTTGTAGCACCTCCCCCCCCCCTCCTTTGAGCACTGCCCTCCTCTCCAGTCTGTGGCCACGTGTCCCCTTTTTCAAGAGGCGTCTGTAAGATAACTTCCTGAGCATACCTCTGAGTGCATCAAGAGTGTTTGGCCCTCGTCACCTGGGAGCATCTCTTGGACTGTGAGTAGGTCTTGGAGCACA